AGTAACGCAAGCACAGGCTTTTATTTAGACGACCGTGCCGAACTTCATGAAGCTGCCCCGTCGCTGTTGCGGCCATATATCAGTGGAGAGACGCAGTGGCGAGTGTGCATACGCACCGCTGAGCCTTCTGCTCCGCACGCTCACGTGGACGGTCCCAGTGAGGCGGCAATCTCATAATTTACAAAAGGTGAGTGGTATGGTGTCATAAGTGGCTCTATCAGCTATACATGTACTTTACCCATGTTTATGTTAAATGGTAAGTTCACCCAAAAGTGAAAATGCTATCTTAATTTAGTCCCCCTTGTGTCCTTACAAACCAAACAAAAATTATGACTTCCATTGTATGAACAAAAACACACATTTTTGAAAATATCTTCTTTTATGTTCCACAGAGAGTCATCGGTGGAACGACATGAGGATTTTTGGATGAAGAAACCTTTAAAATCTCTTATCCCATCTCAATATGCAAAATTAGAAGTTTGACAACTTGGTACACAATTTAATATGACAACTATAACTCTTCATAATTTAAAGGTAGAGCGCACTCTCAGAAAAAAAAAGTACAAAAGCTGTAACTAGGGCTGTACCTTTTCAAAAGGTACACTTTTGAACCTAAATGTGCATATTGGTACCTTAATGGTACATATTAGCACCTAAATGAACATATCAACACTTAAAATGTACATAATTAGCACCTAAATGAACATATCAACACTTAAAATGTACATATTAGCACCTAAAATGTACATATTAGCACCTAAATGAACATATCAACACTTAAAATGTACATATTAGCACCAAAAATGTACATATTAGCACCTAAAATGGACAAAAGTTTACCTTTTGAAAAGGTACAGCCCCAGTGACAGCTTTCATACCTTTTTTTCTGAGAGTGTATTTTTAGTTTTTAAAAATAATACTGTAACGAATGCAAATAATGAGTCGTGAATCAAAAACACTAATTCTAAATTAGTCATTTATAAAATGAATACAAACGTTTAGTATTGTTATTTAAATGTATACATAGACTTTTTACACTTTTTAATTAATTAATTAATTAATTAATTAATAATTCACCTGTGTTCACACTTTTTGCAGAAACAGTTTGAATACATTTTGCATTAAACAATTTTAATAATTTTGTAGTTTTCAGTGTTTTTTTTTTTTTTTTTTTTAGGGTGACTATAACATTCTGTCTAGAGACTACAGATGAAAACTGGCTAATTCTGGTGCATTTCCAAAAATGTGCATTTACCCTGATAAATAGCCAAATAAGTAAACTTATAAATACATAACACTCATTTCTGCGTGTATTTCCTAATTACACAATTGTTAATAGAGGAATTAGAACTGGAATCACTGAATCCTTTATGTAACACTTTCCAATGAGGCTCAATTAGTTAACATAGTAACTAAAAACTTACAGTATTTATTAACCTTTTGTTAATGTTAGTTAATAAAAAAACATTAAATAATATGAACAGAACACCTTTTACTTTTAATAATGTTAGTAAAGGTTAAAATGAACATTCATCTAATATTAATAAAATGCTTTAGATGCATTTTTCATAGTTAGTTCATGTTAAATAATGTAGTTAACTAATGTTAAAAAGTATCCCTATTTAGGCCTGTACTGTACTGATGGTGATGTCATCAGGACTTTATTATCTTCGTTTCATTTATGCAATAGTGCCTAAATAATTAGTATCTTGCTCTGATAGACAATGCATTCATCATAAATTACTTTTTTACTCTCTTTTTTTAATTGAATTCTCACCCTGACATGAGCTAATAGATCTTATTTGCTGCTCATTAGTGTGACTTAAACACATGAAAGTGGCCTGTCTGCTTCATCTTCTTTGAACAGAGACGAGTGTTTGATCTAGAGTTAATAAGAACATACTACACAAGTAAACTGATCTATGTGTCTTTTTTGGTGCTTGAGGTCTAGATCTCTGCAGGTTGTGATTAATCAGGCCTGGCGGGCTGAGCTCAACTAAGACTGTCTGGCAGAAGCGCTGTGCCAGCAGCTCTCCATCAATGGGGGGTAGGGGGGATGATGCGATAGGATTGGGGGATTGTGGGACAGTGTTACTGGCTGTAGGGAGAGCAGACACAGTCAAATCATTTAATGTCACATGGCACCCGTGACACTACGCCCTTAGAGAATCCCCCAGGTTCTGATTCTAAAACTGAGAGGCCTAGTCAGAATAAGTCACACTAGTTTATCACTGGGCATTTTTTGAGGAGGACTTTTCTGTTTGCATTTGCACCACAGATAAACACAATGTCACAGTTCACAATTTGACTGCTTAAAGCAAAAGTTCACTCAAAAATGAAATCACCAATCCTGTATTACTTGCTTTCATTGGGATAACATAAAAGAAGATAATTTGAAGAATGAAGGGAGTGAAAAAACGCTGGACCCTGCTGACTTCAAATGGCTGTGGGAAAATGTTTCACAGAATTAAAAAAAATTAACGACATGAATCTTTTTTTTGGGTGAAAATCTGTTATATATAATATATATATATATCGTATATACTGTATATATTAGTGCTTTCAAACGATTCAAATACTTAATAGCGATTAATCGCATTAATATAGTTAACTCGCTATTAATCGCACATTTGTATCTATTCTAAATGTATTTGATTTCTTTTTGTCCCATTATTTTTTTCTCATTTTAATGCTCTTATTAACATGAAAAGGTGGATCGGCTTGCTTTGTGCAAATGTTTTTTACTGAAAACAACATTGACATATACTGTGTTCAATTTCACACTAACATTCTCACTTGGAGCAAATAATCTCTCACACAATGTAACACTGTCCATCAATAAAAGGGTGAAATAAATACTGACGAGGTCCTGATATTGACGTGGGGGTGGAGAATTCGCATCAGCTGTGTGTGTGTGCTTGGCCATCATCATCAAGCGATATTTAACTGGACGTGCTGCGATGATGATAGCTCAGTTCACAATGACAATTTGACACCAAGTTTATTAACACCAAGTTTAAATTTGTATTTTGAAACCTAGATTTTCCATGTAGTTTAAGACTCCCGTTCATGACGATTTGAAAAAAAAGAAAGAAAGAATCTCAGACGAAAAAGGACTCACTCACAGCATTGTTGCCCAACAAGCATAAAAAGTAAATGTCCAGTTAAGACAGACAATTAATGGACCATTAAAATTCATTCCAACATAGAACCTCTTCCTAGGGTCCATTTTAGAGAGTCCTTGAAATGTGAGGAAGGCCCCACAGGCACATTATTGTGTACTGAGGGAATTCTGGGAAATTTTAGATATTTATTTAGCCCATGTGAGAGTTTATTAAAAGCCTAGATGCGTGTTGTTATTTATGCATGTTTGTGTCCATTAGAGACTTCTTCTCCATCCCTCTATTTTAGCCATCCTGTCCATCCATCTCTTCGGGACAACCTGTTTCCCGCAGTGCATTATTTTAATCTTCTGCCTCCTCCTCCGAACGAAAAAGGAAAACGTGCTATTTTACATGCACTCAAATTTATAACCTATCATTTTTTAGTCAGGCATTAGAGAAGGCACCTCATCTAAGATTTATGACTGACGGTTTCCCCCTTCCACCCCTCAATCTAATGGTATAAAAGAGACAATGTTTTAAACATTAAAATGAAAACCATTTACAACTATGATCAAAAGAGAACATTCGTGCATTAAAGTTTAAAAGCCGAGGAGAAGTATGGACGTGCGGACGGAAGGAAAGAGGAGGGGGAGAGATAGAGGTAAAGAGGAGAAGACACAAGCATAGCGAATACTCCTACTGAAAGTAGAAAGAGCCTTAAAGTGCTTTTGCGCTTCATTGCAAAACGCTGACCTGTAATGAATGTGAACTACTTTCCCCGCCTATATCGCTCTGATCCTCCTGTCCTCGGCCTTTCCGAGCACTTTTCCCAGGTATATCTTAAATGTGCGCTGTTTGGATGGGGTGATGGTACTTTGAGATGGCACAACTTTTATGAGTCCCAAAAAAACAACAAACTGTCGAAGAACGAATGCTATAAACCACACAACGTTTTCATGATTGGCTATCCTCATTGAATTCGACTTCACAGGTTCTGATGGTACTTTTTAACCCTTGCTTTAATGTGGGTGTTCACTTAAAGTGATAGTTCACCCAAAAATGAAAATTAGCCCATGATTTAATCACTCTCAAGTTATCCTAGATGTACTGTATGTGACATTCTTTCTTCAAACGAATACAATCTGAGTTATGTTAAAAATGTCCTTGCTCTTCCAAAATGTATAATAGCAGTTTCTGTTTTAAAGTCCATAAAAGTGCATCCATCCATCATAAAAGTGCTCCACATGGCTCCGGGGGTTAATAAAGGCCCCTTTAAATTATTTGTTCGGTTTATAGATTAAATAGATACCTAAATAAACAACAAAAAGCTCATTTTTTGTTGTTTTTCCATATACAAATGCTTTTCCATGTACATTTCTAAAATGCTGCTTTGAAACAATATGTATTGTGAAAAGCGCTATACAAATAAATTTGTGTTTCATAAGCAGAACAATCCGAAAACACGTTAAATAACAGTACAGCCCATTGAAGAGATGCATGACTATCCCTCACAGCCTCGCTTTCATTCTCATTAAAAATCAAAGATGGAGCTGCCATGAATAAGGCGTATAGGCAGCCTACAGGCCGTTAAGGACATTACACATATTTAAATATTTTTAAAGCCACTGGATGGCGAATGGCAGACTTCTCACTTGAATTTTTTGTTGCCTGCAACCTGCACTCTATTTTGATGTGAAATGTTGCATTTATTGAAAAAAAAAAAAATATATATATATATATTGGCTTCATCTTAAAAATTATTGATCAAAAGTATATTTGATTGGTTTTCCTTGGGGGGAGTTCAATTTTAAGGCTTCTGTCTTTTTTGACTGGGAGGAAGCTAAGTGTAACCCCTAAACAAAGAAGCCCAGTGGGTTAATCAAGAAGTATTCATACCTTGCAGATTCTGTAGAGGGAGTGTCATGATGCCACCCGCAGCAGCAGCGGCCACCAGGCCCTGTATGTTGGCAGCAGTGGGCAGAGAGAGTACCAGGCCCTGCTGTCCACCCAGATGCCCACCAGCGTTAAAGGGAATCAGAATGGGCTGATTCAGACCCGGAGCTCCACCGGACATCACTCCGCTAACTGCCGACGCCAGCTGCTGAGCAACCAGTAGAGACTGAAAGACAAGAAGTTTGAAAGGAATTTTTTCAATGATTTGGAGATTCTGTCATTTGGCCAAAATCTCAAAACAGAAGAAAGTGAAGGCTATTTAAAGGAGAATTCCGGCACAAAATGAACCTTTGGTCTAATAAAACATTGGTACCTAGTCGACCGTTCTCTGAGATTTGTTTTTATGATAATAGAATGTAAAGAGTTTTATCTCTAAAAACTGTTTAGCGTATAATGCTAGTAATGGGGGCATATAATAAGTAAAAAGAAAACGCTATTTAATACCACTAACAAGGCTCAAAATTGACCCACACTAACACGGTTACATAATGAGGGTCCCTAAATGCAAACTGAAGCATTGAGAACTTTGTAAGTGTACAGACCGTTTAATAATAAGATATTTTATAAAGATAGTCCACTTCGTGTATACAAGCAGGAGCCATCTTGGAAAACAGTCTCGACAAGTCGAACCACGAAGCCGTTCATTCAGTTCAGAAGTTCGCTGAACTTCATACAGTTCAACTCACTTAGCACGTCGTTCGTGGTTTGACTAATCGAGACTGTTTTCCAAAGATGGCTGCTGCCTGTATACTCGAAGTGAACTGTCTTTATAAAGTATCTCGGTCTCGACATGGACTCGGCCCTCTATGGTCTCGGTCTCGACTCGGACTAGATTTTCTTTAGTCTCGGACTCGACTCGGCCCTCTAGTGCCTCGGTTTTGACTCGGACTCGACTCTCTTTGGTCTCAGGCTCGACTCGGACTCGACCCTCTATGGTCTCGGTCTCGACTCGGACTCGACTCTCTTTGGTCTCGGTCTCGACTCGGACTCGGCCCTCTGTGGTCTTGGACTCGACTCGGACTCGACCCTCTAGTGCCTCGGTCTCAACTCAGACTCGACTCTCTTTGGTCTCGGTCTCGACTCGGACTCGCCCCTCTATGGTCTCGGACTAGACTCGGACTCGACCATCTATGGTCTCGGTCTCGACTTGGACTCTATTGCCGAGTAGCACCTCTAGCAACGTTTGAGAATTTACAGTTCTGTAGGCGGACGAATATGGACAGTGATTCCGGTAAGAGAATCAGGCACAGGAGAAGTATATCTTCATCAAACTTCTCTTTAATGATATTCGTCAGGCAGTAAGTGACATCCATATACACTCTCAGGATGGTAAGGAGAGTTATATGATGCAATCATGTTATGTTGTGGTCTGTAGAATATATAAATAAAGGAATACAGTATGAATACAATATATCTGTACACAAATTACCTCACAAGTTATCAATAACTGACTATAGTCATCACAAATGAATGCTCAACTGTCAGATAACAAATTAAACATATAATGAGATAAACTACAAATAAACAGCATGACGCAGTATGTAATAATAACGTGACCATGGAATTAGCGCCTCTCCGCGATCGTCATTTGCATATCACGATCGTCATTTGCTAAACATCCAACATTCACATGAACAGATATAAAGTGTTGACTAAATAATATTAACATATTTACTCACATTTGTTGCATGAACGCACAACATTGAACAATATCAGGGAAAAACAGCGATATCAGGCTGGAACTGGCTTTTGCATCAGCCTGCAGGAAGTTGCAACTATGATAAGAGTCGGTCAGACCACTGCTTGTTTTCCGTTCCGAGACGGACTTTGACAGACTCGACTCTCTTTGGTATCAATCTCGACTCGGACCTCTATGGTCTCGGACTCGACTCGGACTCGACCCTCTATGGTCTCGGTCTCGATTCGGACTCGACCCTCTATGGTCTTGGTCTCGACTCGGACTCGACCCTCTATGGTCTCGGTCTCGACTCGGGCTCGACTATCTTTGGTCTCGGTCTCGACTCGGACTCGGCACTCTATGGTCTCGGTCTCGATTCGGACTCGACTCTCTTTGGTCTCGGCCTCGACTCTCTTCGGTCTCGGACTCGACTCGGACTCGACCCTCTATGGTCTCGGTCTCGACTCGAGCTCGACTCTCTTTGGTCTCGGTCTCGACTCGGACTCGACTCTCTTTGGTCTCGAACTTGAATTTCTATGGTCTCGACTCGGGCTCGACTCTCTTTGGTCTCGGTCTCGATTCGGGCTCGACTCTCTTTGCTCTCGGTCTCGACTCTCTTTGGTGTCGGACTCGACTCGGACTCGACCCTCTATGCTATGGTCTCAGTCTCGACTCGGACTTGACTCTATTTGGTGTCGGACTCGACTCGGACTCGACCCGCTATGGTCTCTGTCTCGACTCGGACTCGACCCTCTATGGTCTCGGTCTCGACTCGGACTCGACCCTCTATGGTCTCGGTCTCGAGTCAGACTCGACTCTCTGTGGTCTCGGACTCGACTCGGACTCGACCCTCTATGGTCTCGGTCTCAAATCGGACTCGACTCTCTTTGGTCTCGGACTCGAGTCAGACTCGACTCTCTGTGGTCTCGGACTCGACTCGGACTCGACCCTCTATGGTCTCGGTCTCGAGTCAGACTCGACTCTCTTTGGTCTCGGACTCGACTCGGACACGACCCTCTATGGTCTCGGTCTCAAATCGGACTCGACTCTCTTTGGTCTCGGACTCGACTCTCTGTGGTCTCGGACTCGACTCGGACTCGACCCTCTATGGTCTCGGTCTCGAGTCAGACTCGACTCTCTTTGGTCTCTGACTCGACTCGGACTCGACCCTCTATGGTCTCTGTCTCGACTCGGACTCGACCCTCTATGGTCTCGGTCTCGACTCGGACTCGACCCTCTATGGTCTCGGTCTCGAGTCAGACTCGACTCTCTGTGGTCTCGGACTCGACTCGGACTCGACCCTCTATGGTCTCGGTCTCGAGTCGGACTCGACTCTCTTTGGTCTCGGACTCGAGTCAGACTCGACTCTCTGTGGTCTCGGACTCGACTCGGACTCGACCCTCTATGGTCTCGGTCTCGAGTCAGACTCGACTCTCTGTGGTCTCGGACTCGACTCGGACTCGACCCTCTATGGTCTCGGTCTCGAGTCAGACTCGACTCTCTTTGGTCTCGGACTCGACTCGGACTCGACCCTCTATGGTCTCGGTCTCGAGTCAGACTCAACTCTCTTTGGTCTCGGTCTCGACTCGGACTCGAGTAAGCTGTTCTCGACTACAACACTGCTCTTGAAATATGCCATTAATCTGCTGCACTATAATGATTTATGGTCAGAAAAAAAATGACGAAGTATGGAGAGATAATGCCCCTTCATACATGTCAGCAATTTCGCGCTCTCTCTCTCTGTTTTTAAACATTGGCTACATTATTATCGCTCCCATTAGTATTCATTGCTGCTTCTTTGGCTTGATCTTGTACAGTCAACCTGTATTACGGAAGACGTTTTCATTTAAGTCAGATTATTCGAGCATTGTTTCCTCAGTGTACAGACAGCACTGTAATTTCTTAAAACTCTTTAGAGCTCCACAGATGAATGAAAATTACAGGTTTGGATCAACATGAATTTTAATATGGGGACTTTAAAGTTTAGTAGAAGGCAAAAAAAACATTCCTGGTTGAAGCAATTTTCCTATTTTTTTATCACAATGAAAAAAAGAATGGAATGACTTGGAATATAATGCCTTTAAAAGATATGTGGTGGCATTATTCCAACATTAAAAACCAACATTTTAGGTTTGGGTGGTTCTAGAGAAACCTTTTAAAACTGAAAGAGGTTCACTGATGTGACTTCTGTGTGATTAGATCCAAATCCAATGGTAGGCTAATCAGCATAAAACAAAACTATTAAAATATTCTTTCTCCATCTAAATGGAAAAAAACAAACAGACAAAAAGAATTTGTCAAAAAGACAAAAAAACGTCTTTCATATGGATCTACTGAGAGATGACATTTGTCATTTCATTCATTTTAAACATTGACATAAAAAGTGCAAAAAATCAATTAGCGAGTCAGTGGATGACAACAAAGACTCTTCTGCCATAGCTGTGTGACATATGCTTAATCTTGCTGTTTTAAGTGTGTGTGATGTCGGTTATTTGAGGCACAAAATCAAAGATTGTCTGCCAGCATCTCATCTCTATCTCAAAGCGAATGCCATTGCCTGGTTTGCCTCTGTGCTCATATGATTGAAATATTTGCTTTTTGAATAAGTCAGTTTGAAAATCCATATGTTGACACATTCTTGAGCGCTAAGAATATACACTATACAGTGCAAAAGTTTGGAGTTTGAATAAATGTGTTATGCTTTTGAAAGAAGTCCCTTATGCTTACCATGGCTGCATTTATTTAATCAAAAACACACTAAAATTAAAAAACATAATATTTCAATTAAAATAATACAAATTATTGTTTTCTTTTTTTTAATATATAATTTGGTAACACTTTAGTTTAGGGTCCAATCCTTACTATTAACTACTGTAGTTGCTTAGCATCCATATTAGTAGGACACTGGCTGATTTTTATCACGTATAAAGCACATAAAATGAACCCATTTCCAAAACTTAACAACTATCCAACTATTAATAAGCAGTAATTATGAGTTTATTGAGATGAAAGTCATAGTTAATAGTGAGATTTGGACCCTAAACTAAAGTGTGGGTAACGTACACATTTTTTAACAGCAGTGTGTATACTGAGATCAGGCTTTGCCATACATTTAAACCAAGACATCAGTGTTTAAGAAAAATAGGACCATAAAATATTTATCACAGCGGTAGATTGTTCTTCAATCTATAAATAAAGTGTTAAATTAAGAACCTCCATGACCCACATTTTCCATTTGTTTTATTTCAGGACTTTAAAGGATGACATTTTTCTATAGCACTGAGCTTGGCATTTTTGTACAAATCAACTAACTCTAGATGGCTCATTCTGAACCCCACTCATAGTACAGAGGAAATGATTAAAGGGCACTTGACCTAAACAACAGATATCAACAGCCTCCATCAGTCTGAAGATGACTAAAACCAGATTGATAGCTCAGAGCTTCAGACAAACTTTATAGAAGTTCTTTTAGTATGATGCTGGTTAAC